AAAAAAAAAAAAAAAAAAAAAAGCAGGGAAAAAAATCCTGGCCTCCAACTAAACAGCACAACCGCAAGGAATCACTTCCAGCCAACTGGGCAACCAAGGGAGCTTGAATGAGTCTCTTTCCACCTCAAAACCCATGGGATAGTGCAAGAGGCAAGGTGGCTACTGTCTCTGCTTCAGAGGGCAGTGACAAGAGGGAGAAAGATGCTTTCTCTCCTTCAGGCAGACTGATGGGAACCTGAAAAACCCCTTCTGCTCCCCAGAAACCAGCTGGGGGGACCCAGAAAGTCTCTCTCCCCTCAGCCATGCCGAAGAGGGAGGAAGAGTCTTCTCCCTCCTGCCAGGCAGCGAGTTTAGCGGGGAAGCCTGGAGCAGCGAGAGGCACTAGGCGACAACACAGCTGTGGGGCCCCAGAAGAGCTGCCGCCCCTGGAAAAGCTGGATGGGAGTCTCCAGCCGCTCCCCGCAGGCAGGGCCGGGGCGTGCTGGACGGGGCCGGGTGAGGCGGGGCTGGGCCGGGCCCTGAGGGGAGAGGGGCGGGAGACGAGTGTCTCTACGTCCTGAGCATAGTCCCTTCCCCTCGGGCGGAGGGCGGCAGGTAGGCTCGGTGCCGCCTGGGGGCAGGGGCAGGGGCAGCGGTCGGACCCTCCCGGGCGGCTCAGCCGGAGCCCAGCTGCTGGAGCCAACCAAAGAACTAGCCCTGACAAGTCGCGTGCGCCCGCCCCCGGGCGGCGCTGATTGGCCGGGCGCGTCGCGGCGAGCCCGTTCCTGCCAATGCCAGTGGCCCGCGGGCTTGTCCATCAGAAGAGGACTCTCAATTCGCCGCTAAGGGAGTAGATCCCCCTCCATCCATCACCAGGCTGAGCAGGTAGCCGCCTAGAAATCAATCACACCCGCTTCACCCCCCGCCCCAGCGCCTTATTACTCCGGCTCTTGAGGCAATAAATAAATAAATAAATAAATAAATAAATAAATAAAAATGTGTGTGTGTGTGTGTATTTCTACACACACCTATATGTACGTGTGTGCATGCATGCATAAGACATACAGCCATGGGGTTTAGCCTATGCATCATCATCTTGTGCTCCCTACAATGATCTTTCAAGCCACCCGGCATTAGAAATGTGCACCCCCAGGAGCTCTCCCTTCCTTATGTAACAGCAGAACAAGATCCTGCTAGTTTCTATGAATGCCCTTTCCCAGCCACTAAAAAAAAAAGAAAAGAGTGAGTGTGGGGTTTCCCTCCCTGCCTGGCAGGTCTTTCTCTAAAATAAATAAATAAATCCCCAAGCTGTATACACTTCCTAGGCTGCACAGCTAGGCATTTCCAGGGCTGATCCTTTTCCATTCTAGGCAACTTTAACAACAACAATAAATATTTATAAACACCGGGCACAACAATGACAATTACATGGCTGCTTTTAGGAGAAATTGCAAGAAAGGTATTTGGATGGTGCTCCTGGAAGGAGAGACACTCAGAGCCACCACAATCAGATGTGCACTTGGTCACACTGATTGCCATGTATTTTATAAAGGGAGGCAAAAAAAGGTGGGGGGGGAGGTTTTTTTTGCAATTTCTTCCTTCCTTTTCCAGCTCCGGGGTAATTGCAGTCAGCAACACATAGCGAGTTGGTCCATCAGCATGAATACACACAAATATCTATTATGGCCATATTCTTGCTTAAGCTTCTCACCTTTCAAATCATTGCATCTGTCTGTCGTCCTCACGTGGATCTCGCCACATCACATCCAGCCGGCAGCGCCTTGCCCCGGGGCCGGAGAGCGGGAGCCGTGCGGAGGGCGGGAGGGGACCTGCTGCAGTCGGGAGCGGCGTGTGGCGCCCGAGCCCTCGTCTCCCCGTCCTCAGTCAGCTGCGAGCCCGGCTCTCCAGCTTGCCAGTCCCTGACTCAACATTCCCAGCATTCCCGAGGAGCCGCCTGCTCCCGCGGCCCGAGCGACCGGCCGCTGGGGGCAGCCGCGAGCTCCAAACCGGCGGGAGGAAGCAGCTGCCGCGGCAGCGCGCAGGAGCCCTGGGGTTGTGTTTGCCCAGCCCGTGCGCCCGTAGTGCAGCCGTGGGGCTGGTTCCGACCCCCCCAATACCTACCTCTACATACAAAGTATTGAGGTTGAATTGCGTTCTCGTGTAGTCAAGGCCGACGTTTTCGAAGTCGGGTGCCCAGAGAAAGGTACCTAAATCCATATTTACAGACCTTCAATAGTAGGTGTGTATTTACCTGTCCGTACAAACGCACACAAAGCAACAACAACAAAAAAATCTCTATTCTGGCCAAACTGTAAAATTAACTCCGATTTGTTATTGGGGAATTAAGAATACAGGAGAGAAAGAGGAGGAGAAAACTAGCGATGCAACTCCTTTAGTAAAAGAACTGGAATACTGAGCCCGAAAGCCTTTTTTTGCTAGAAATTTGTGGCGTTGCAAACTGCATTAAGAAAATGACCATAGCAATGGTATTTCTTTCTTTATTTTTGTAGCTAATTGAACCAGGAAAAAATTTGCCTCCACAAAAATTCAATTACTTCCCATTCTGGAGAACATATTTATTCCTTTCTTCTGCTTTTTTTTTTCACTATTCTGTTTTTCTGTAGTCTAAATTACTGTTTGGATCAAAATATTAGGACAGATCTACTCGGTCCAAAAGTTCCAAGACATGTGCATGTCACCCCCATTCCAGGACTTTCACAAATAAAACTGCTTCCTCTTTTTGCTGCAGATTAATATATTTGTGGAGCACTTCAATACTATAATTTTATTTTAATTCTAACTTACACATACACACGTATACAAACACTACTGTTGAACAGGCTTGGTTAGGGATAGAATCTGTGGCGTTTCTAGAAAATATTATGCTAAACGAAGCTGATATCAACCAATCATATTGCAAACTTATTTAATCCCTTCATTGCTGTGGCATTTACATTATCCAAAGCCAGTTAAAATTGTTAAGCCAGTTAAAATTGTTTGCTGTCATGAATATTCATTCGGAAAAGTTACCATCCCAGACAACACTGGAATCCAAATCTACAGCATAGGCTGCAAAATAAAAGTGTGTTTTGAAAAAATAAAATTAAATAAAATAGAATGCAAAATAAAAGTGCCTGAAAAAGGATGTCTGTGCCCAAAAGCTTGCAAAGAACAATTTTTCCAGCTATTTATAGTTTCATAAAAGATGTCACATCTACTGAAAGGACCTTGTCTGCCTTTTAAAAATGTAAGACTTTCCTTGCTTTCTCTATGTCTTTTAAGTAAAGGATAAGACGGAAAAGGGATATTTTTCTGGGTGATAATTGCATAGGGACAATAAGCATGATCACAATATGGGACCAAAGTGTAAAACTGAGTTACTTTTCAAGAGGTGTATATTGTATTAAACAGAGTTCTTTGTGGAACATGGAAATGGTGGGCAGAGGAAACCAGTTGCTGGATACACTCAATGGGAAAAAAAAGCCTTGATTGGTATACAACTAAGTTCACATAGTTAAAATTAAAAAAAAAACAAAAAAGTAGTTCTCCTTTCTTGACTTCAGGACTTGTCAGGCCTTTTACCAATAAGATGGAGAAATGGTGGAAAATATTTATTTCTTTAAGTGGTACTTCATAAGAATTTTGTCTCATTTTCAAAAGTTAAATCCCTAACAGTCATTTAGATCCTGTCTATACTAGGGACATCTTGCAAAAATTACTTACCTGTTCTGAAAAAAAATTGTTGACTCCACTGTTAACAATGGTAGTAGCTTTACTGGTAGCAGCTTTATTATAGATCAGAGGTTTTCAGCCTTTTTTTAAGGATACCCCTTCTGGTGGTGGTGGCTGGATGCAGAGTGGGGGAGGGCAGGTGGCCGGACATGGAGCCCTGGTTGACAACCCCTGTTGTAGATTAAGCTGCTGCCAACTTTTTAAGTACTCTGGTCACAGTGCATCCCTGTACCTAAGCAGGGGCTGAGAGAGGTCAGCTTCTGCTCTTATTTGGCACTGTCAGCAGCCAATCTGGTCACTGGCACAAGTTATGGGCCTTAGACCAGAACTAATCATAGCCAATAGACCATCTGCACTAGGCCTCCCAAACTGTTGTCCTAAAGGGCAAAATTCCACCATTATTGACAGGGCCATTGGGTAGAGAACGTTGAAAAACAACAGTCTGGAAAATACTAGGCAAAAAAGTTAATAGAGAAAAATGTGCTTCTGAATAAAGAAAACAACCAGGAGTCTGAACACAGAGGATGCATTATTTGTAGAGACATCATGGCTCCAAAACAAAACCCCAGATTCAAACAATCCCAGATGTTCAGTAATGTTTGTTCACTCTATTCAAGAGAGTTTTAGAATACAAACCCATTGTATTGGATGCACAATAAAAGTACATTCAGGAATTTCTGATGCAAATCTAAACCTAACAGCTTAGAATCATTTTTAGCCATTATCTTCTCGTGTAGTGATACTGCTGGACAGGAATCTTTTGCTTTCATGCTTAGAAAAGATACTCAGATGGTTGTGGCATGTCATGTCAAGCAAATAAATCCCGAAAGGCACTAGAGTACACACTAATTCATTGTGAACAAGGAAGAGAAAGATCAAGGCAAAAATTGGCAGCATACCATAAACAAATAACATTGTATAAAATAAAAAGGGTAAGAAAATCTGCTTCTCCATTTTTCTCTCACATCTATGTGACTGTTCTGGTTTTAGGAATTCATAGAGCCTTTACATTTGGAGTTTGTTTCATTAATATTATTTTCCACTTCATTCTTTAAGTTCAAATCATTCAAAATAATTATTATAAAGGAAACACAGATAGATTATTGCTTGTCTTCAGCTGTGTTGCTTATTTATCATCACCAACTCCCTCTCTTCTTCTTTTACCTGAGTCAATAACACTTCAGCAGCTGCCAGCTCCCTTTCATATTTTCAGTTCTATCAAAAATGGTGAAGACAGAAGCTATTTAGCACTCCTGGTTTTAAAATAGAAATTCAAATGTGAATGAAACCCAGTCACTGCTGCTGAGCAACTGAAAGCAAGCATCCGCAGGTGCAAGCTTTAAAAATAACATGGGGGGGGGACCTGTATTTCGACTTTATTTCCATGAACCTAGTCCCTGCCACTTTCATCCAGCCTCCCTAGCGGCTGAGCTGCTTTTAGTTTTCATGTTTTAGTAGAAAAGCTAAGCCAGGAGCCTTAAATACCAGCCCATTTTACCTTTTTTTTGGTTTAAATTAAAAGTTAAAAATGGCTTAGAACAAGTTATGCTGGCATTATATACATGTATTGTGTACAAAAGTTTTTGATCGCTTTCTCACAAAGGAACAGAAAATGAATAGAAACAATCCAGAGAAAGGCACAGAGAGAATTAGAGGCATAGGCATAGAAGGCTTCCTAAGGAGAAATATAAAAAGTGATTCCAAGGACTTGGCCCTAGTTTGGTTGGTGATTTTTTCAAATCCAAAGTACGCAAGATGGTTCTAGTATGGACTATACTACTATAATTAAGGTCAGTCAGGTAAGCCTATTTACCTGTCTCATAATCAAAAAGCAAATAATAAACAAACACATTATATTTAAATAAATAGTCACTATCACAAAGTATTATTGCTATTACCTGATTTAGTAATCTTCAAAGATGCGCTAGACTTTTATGAAATACAAAGAACTTTTAAGAAAAAGAAATAAATCTGCAATTGTGCTAGCTAAAGATGAAGGTGTGAGGTTATCAGTCCTCATCATTCAAAGTATCAGTTGATTTTCAACTAACATCGGAAGGCAACTTTCCTTAATGATGTAGTACCGCATAATAGAGGGTGTGTCTACACAAGACACTTTACTTGAGATTAGAGCTAAGTACTGAGCAGTAAACATCAAAGTCTATAGGTGCACATACTTACTGCGCAGTAATTGGCATGAATCACAAATAAATTTGCTACCTGCAAATGCAACTAGCAAATTAACTTTCAATTACTTACTGCACAGTAGTGTACATGTGTAATACACGTGACCAGGAGCACATTTGCTGCCAGTCAGCTGGACAGCAAGGAACAAGAAATTGCTCCCTGCCCCCAGGAGCTGCCTGCTGCCAGGGCAGGCTCTGCCATCAGAGCCTGGGTGCAGACTATCTCCTTCTTCCCCAGCAGCAGGGAGCGCCCAACCCCACTCCACAATTACACGGCCAGGTCTGGTAGATCCTTGTCTCCCAGCCCAAACTCCACCATTGTGAAGCCTGGGCTAGAAGATTCTTTTCTCCCAATGCCAGCTCTGCAGTCACTGGCACTGCAACTGCAGAACTAATACTGGGAGGGAAGAATCTCCCAGCCCAGGCTTCACAACCACAGTTTTCCTTGACTGCTACAGGGACCCAGTGCAGGGCTGCGGGGAGTGGGAGCCATCTGCTGCTACGAGCAGTAAATCTACTCCCATGATCCTGCACATGTAGATGTGTGCCTGGGAGAATTTACTCTAGAGTCCTTTAAAATAAACTGCTCCCAGATTATTAGCATATGTAGACGCGTACTGTGAAAAGGAAAAAAGTGCAAGAGCATTTGTGCATATGCATTCAGTATATCCCTTTCTTCCCCTGAAAAATTAGGTGTGCACTATGATTTGGCTCAAGACAATGAACTATATATTATGCCTTTGATTGCCAATTCTCAGATTCTAATTCTTCTTAAATACTGCTTTATCAATTAAACAAGAAAAGTATGTGCTGAAGTGAAAACAAAAGCCATGTAATGCAGTCATATAACTAATAAATTGGAATTATTTTTAAAAAGAAAAAAAATTAATTATCTCCTAATACATAAAACCTACTGTGCACCACGTAAGATGACAATGCACTTGTTAATAATACTTTTTATGTAGTTTTAAATATGCTCAAATTAGAAGAGGCAATTACTTTCAC